TTATTCTTTGATAAAACTATAACTATTGTTAACCAAAGAAAACAATTCCTAGTAAAAAATACATTTGGACCAGACAAAATGTGTTCAAAAAGATTTTTTTTGGTACGGTTTTATCAGTAAAAAAAAAAATTAAATAGACTCAAAATGTATGAACTCAAATGATAATATTTTTCTACTGACTTAGATTATATTTCTTATTAAGTCATTTACCATATTTTTAGTGATTGATGCCAACAATTACGTTGTTTGTTGATAAAAGTATTATATATTTATGCAAAAAAAATTTAATTCTTATAATCAGAGTTTAAATCCTATTAACTTTAAATATTTTCAGTGGTTCACTTGGATGAAATATTTCACATCTCATCCACTAATTGGTCTAAAGACCATTAATTAGTCGATAACAAATATATCAAATGGCCGACTTAATTTAAATAAGTCATACGTATTTAACTGACTAATCAAATGTCATGTCACTGATCCAAGTCACTCTTACTTTTGTCCCATGCGACCCCTTTCTCGTTGGTGGATGTACTTATAGTGTAAACACATGCATAAATGTCCTTGATATTATACATTTTATACAACAAACAAAAATACAAATTCCTCGTTGTTGCATTTCAACTCCTACTATATATATATATATATATATATAACATTTATTTGTGTCTAAGGTGCAATCAATTGTAGCTTTATTTTTTACTATTATTATTATTATTAATTTATTTTTTTTATTAACAAAGAAATTGAACGAATAATAAAAAGAAAAGAATCAAATCAAAATCAAATAGATTTGCGAGATTCAGGCTTAAATCAAATCGAACATAATTGAATCTCAAGATTCAAACCCGGATTGGTTCTGTTCAAACTCTAAAATTTTTCCTGGAACAAGCTATAAATTGAATGCAAAACACAAAAGAAAACAGAAAGGGAGGTTGGCGTAAAAAATAGTTTTGACAGTTTTGAGTTTTTGTAAAAATTGTTCTAGGTTTTAACGATTCAAAAATTGGATCTTTGGTTTTTTTTTTTTTGTGTTTTTGAGAAATCTAAAAAAATCTAGGTTTTTTGTTTAAAGATTTGAATTTTTCGATTGAATTTTTTGGCAAGATTTGAAGTTTCTGACCAAGTTTTGATCAATTTTTCAAAAACCAATGATAAAACCCAATTTTCAATGGATGAATATGAATTCTAAAAAGAAGTGAGAGAGAAAAAGAGCTAAAGAGAGAAGGCTGGGGTGGTTCTGAATAAAACAAAAGACTTAGGCTTTTATACTGCACTTAAACGACGTCGTTCTGAAAATCTTAGATCTACACGTCTGCTTGTTAACCTGCGTGTTGATTCGCGCTCCAAACCCAACTCGATCCTAGGTTTTTCTTTTTTTTTTTTCATTTTATTTCCTATTTACATTTTTATTTGTTTTACTTTTCTAGATTTTCTTATTTATTTTCTATTTCATTTAATTTGTTTTATTCTTTTTCAATTTTTTTAATTTCATTTATTATCATTATTGTTATTCTACTTATTATTAAATTAAATAATTTATTTTAAATACTTTTATAATTTATTTTTAAATAATAAAAAATATAATAAAAAATATTTCTAAAACGATTCATGAATCTTACTAAACTATTGAAGGTTTTTTCATGAATTTAAAATTTTTATGAATTTCACTAAACTATTGGAGAATTTAATAAATTGATTTAAATATATATTATTAATAAAATATTTTGTATTTTATTCTACCAAACTATTGGAGGATTTGCATTTTAAATTAAATCTTATCAAACTATTAGAAGATTTAATATATTTTTTAAAAAATAATTTTATAATAAAATCTCATCAATCTATTAGGAGATCTACACCAAAATAAATCTTATCAAACTATTAAAAGATTTTGCTAATTATTTCTTTAATTAAAATATAAATGAATTCGATGATAGAGCCTCTTTAAGGTGTGACACTAGTCTCCATAAATACTCATGAGGTGAAAGAATTATCTTAAATTGCTATCAAACTACTCGAGTAATTTTAAGATTGATTTTTAATATTAAATATTTGGTAAATTATAGATATTGTTAAGGCTTAGATAATTTAAAATCAAATTGATATCATCCTTTGGATGGGTGTTGTAAGGGTGCTATAACATTTCTTACACATAATCACACTCTTGAATCTAAAATTTGATTTCGTGGATTAGAATCTATTATTTAAATATACATAAGTCAATCTTAAGACTCCCATTTAAATGAGACAGATTCTGTTAAGTGCCAAATCACACTTTAACAAAAAAGATTGGTGGTAACTCCCTTTAATCCATGTCTAATAGTAGGTCCACATATCTATACATTATGACAGTTTGGTGACTTTATTGGGGATATTGAAAGTCAAGCCAATAAATGATTTCTTATTATCCAAGCCTAACTTAATAAATTTAAGATTTTTTTTCTTTCTTTGTTTATATGTTATTTATTTATTTATTCATTTTCATATATTTATCATTCATTTGCATACACATAAAATGAGCTCTACACCAAGTTCTATCCCTTATGAGGGAGTAAAGTAATGGAATAGCAAAATACTCTCACTCACTTTTTTTACTTGTAACCTATAATGGGCAAGAATTATGGTGTCTTACTAATTTGTGATGGATGATGATGTAAGGAACAATTTGAGAACCTTTTAAAAATGATCGAAGCTGCATATAGTTAACCTTATAAGCTTAACCCATAGGTAGGGCTATGTCCCTTTACCCTTTATAGTTTAATCTGAAATTTAGAGTCATGTTGTTGTTGCATTTTACTTGTTTTATCGTATATATTCTTTATTTTATATTAAGATGACTAACTAATTTCTTGTTTACCTTTCATCTTGTGCATATTCATAAACATCTATCCAAATTGCTTATGAGTTTAGTCCAATAAATTATAAACTAATGGTATATTGATAAACCATTACTTATGACTTTAGTCTAATACATTGTAAGCTTAACTTCATAACAACATAGTAGATAAGCCATCTCATTACAGTTTCATAATCTCCCAAACATGCCAACTATCAAAACTCCAAGATCAGTCTACCTCAAATGATTAAAACCAAATCACTGCAAAATGGATTTGGTTCATATGTGATCATTTATGAGTACAAAAACTTCATTAGTGCCCATTATTTTAAATATAGTAACTTTCTTACTTTTAGATACAACCAAGATATGACATTGAAATTTACATACGAGAGAACTACAACTTTGATAATACCTATAAATATACTTAAATTTAATTCAATTATATTGTTTTAAAATAAAAAAAAATAGCCCAGCAAGTTTTTTAGTTTATAAATAAAAAATGTTAATTATATATTTGTAATGTGAAGTTTGAAAAAAATGTATAACTAAAAATGAGTAAAAATATACATGGATATTTTTCAAAGCTTTAATTTACATTAATATTAAGGTTAATGTTATGAATGGCTCATAAACTATAGTAAAATATTCAATGTAATAATTGAACTTCAAAATCTCTAATATGATATCTAAACTATGAATATTTTAACGAATATAGTACTTGAATAGTTGTTTGTTCATCACATATCATCATTAGGAGTTAAGCACATTATGAGTAAGTATCATATTAGTTAAACAAATTCAATGTTCAAGTACCATATTAAAGATTTTTAAAGTTTAGATACCAAATTAAATATTTTACAATAGTTAAAGGACTATTCATAACATTAACCCGAATGTTAAAAATAATAAATTGATGTTAATTAACTTATGACATATTAATGTCATTGAATAAACTTAACATAATAACTTACACTATTTAATTTCAACTATTTGTACAATATACAATTATATATATATATATATATTCAATTTATAATGATTATTTTAATGTATAATCCATTAATATACACTAAATACTTTGCTTATAAGATTTAAGTTCAATTTTGCTAATAATAACTTTTCTTAACAAATGATTTAAGAATTTTGTTAAAACATACTTTGTGTTGTGATTTTTGAACGTGTAACCTTTTTAGTAATAGATGGACAAATATAATCTTTACAATAGATTTTTTCAAAAGGTTAATACACCCATAGTTATTAAATTTTGATCCAAATTCTATTTTGAATTCTAATATCTATAAAATTCTAATTGTATCTCCAATTGTTCAAAATTGTTTTTTTTTTTTGTCCTTCTATCTATAGAACCATATAAATTGATGCTAAATGTCAATTAGCTCTAAGTGATGACGTTAGCTTGCATATCACATGACAAAGAAGGGATCAAAATAAAATTTTTTCAAAGCTTAAGGACAAGGATGAAACTATGTCATAATTTTAAATATTTCTTATATTTTTTATAAAATATTAATTTAAAAATTTTTTAATATAATTTATTAGCTAGGCTTTTGGTTTTTAATAGAAAAAAGATTTTGAAAATTAAAATTACGTTAAAATCTTCTAATTCTTTTTTTAAAAATTCAATATCATTTAAAAAACAAAAAATATTTTCAATTAAAAATATTCTTTTACTTATCAATCATAATGTAAATATTATTTTCTATCAAAAAAACTATTTTTTTAATATATTAAATATATTTCATTTTTTCTTTTTCATAAATTTTTATAAAATATGCTTTATATAAAACAAAAAATGTATTTTTATATATTTCAAGTATATTTTATAAAATATTGTAATATATAATTTTTTTATTATGATATAATTTATCAATAAAATAAATTTTCAATTTCAATAGAAAATAAAATTTTAAAAATTAAAATTAAGTTAAAGTTTGCAAAAGAGTTTTTTAAATTCCAAATCATTTTAAAAAATTAACTAAAAATTTTACATCATTTAAAAAAAATTAAATAAAAACTCTAAATCGTTTTAAAAAAAATTAAAAAATTTCTTTTAAAAAATTAAATAAAAACTCTACATGCTAATCGCATACTTGGTAGGAAAGCAATTGAATTGGCGCGTAACGGCTAGTTTTCTAACACCGACATTAAGCTTCCATCATAAACTGTTTTGGTAATCAAAACCCAAAAGCAAAATTCTGCTTCTTATTCCTAAAGCTTCACCCAAACAAGCATTCCTAACCTCTGCTTTCGCTTTTGTTGAAGTTTCTAAGATCAGATTCAGACGCAATCTATCTATCTCTCGACTCAGGTTTGCTTCCTGAATCCTTTCTCTTTCTTTTACCATTATCCCCCCAAACAACGGTTTCTGTATTGTCCCTTTCTTTTGCACTTTCTCAAGTTAGGGTTACGATTTTCATCACCAGAAAATGTTTGGAATATTGTTCTATGTAATCGATTTGATTTTTCCCAAAATTATTGATTTAACATTGTTTACTACTTGTTCTAAGTTTGGGTATTGTTGAAATCAACCCATTTGATTTTGGACATATATATATATATATATATATATTTATAATAGTTTCCTTTTGCACATTTTTCTCTACAGAGAATGGAGATTAAGGGAGTTGACAGAGGAAGAAATTTGTGTGGAAATAAGGGAGATTTCACAAACCCCAACGGCAATGTTTTTCGTAGAAATACAATGGTTTCTCGTGCTTTAATTGGTGATCCACCGACGAAGATCTCCACCTTTTGCCCTAAGAATTCATCTGTTTGGACTCTAAAGCCCCAAGAGAAGACGGTCTGTAAGTACTGGATGTCAGGCCACTGTACCAGAGGTGACAAGTGCTGGTATTCTCATTCGTGGTCTCTTGGGGGTGGATTCGCCATGTTGGCCAAGCTGGAGGGCCACAAGAAGGTACTTTTTTTAATATCTTTCTTTGGATTTTGGGTATTAACATGGAATAGCAATTTTCATACCTTCACTGATTTCTACATGTTTTCACCAATTACAGGCGGTTCAAGGGGTTGCCCTTCCTTCAGGATCTGACAAGCTTTATTCTGGAAGCAGTGATGGAACTGCAAGAATATGGGACTGCAACACAGGAAAGTGTGTTCAGTTGATTAAACTTGGAAATGAAGTTGGGTGTTTGATTACTGAGGGTCCCTGGGTGTTTATTGGCATGAAAAATGTTGTCAAGGTTAGAATACAACATTATGCTTAATTGTCTTAAAACTATTCTGTCTGTGATATTTTTTACTTAATTATTTTAGTTTATTTGGCGTTAACTAAATGGACATCTTTTTGGGGATCTTGCAGGCATTGAATATTCACACAGCAAATGAGTTCAATCTAAAAGGGCCTGTTGGGCAAGTCTATGCCATGGTTGTTGCTAGTGATATGCTTTTTGCTGGTGCACAGGTGATTTAATCTGAGTTCAACCTTCTATGTTTTCTCATCCTTTTGCTTCCATTGTCTTGTTTTTAGGAGAAAAGTGAGTTACTCAATTCGTTGGTTTATCGCAGAATGGTGCTATTATTGTATGGAGAGGCAGTTCTAAGGCCAGTTCTTTTCAAGCTGCTGCATCCCTGGAAGGCCACACTGGTGCTGTCTTATGTTTAGCTGTAGGAGAGAAAAAGTTATTTTCTGGTTCTGCGGACCAAACAATCAGGGTAAGTTCTGCTAGTTGTCTGGTCTTTTCCTTATCAAATATTTTATGTAAATTGAAATAAATATGCAAGTCCTTAGTGCAGCAAGAAAAGTATTGTCTGTTTGGAATTTATTGGCTTACCGTATTCCCATTAGCTACAGAATTTGTGCAATTCATATGCTTATATTAAATTTCTTACTCCTTAATATATATTTTTCTCCTGACCAGGTGTGGGACACTGACACATTACATTGCATTAAGTCTTTGAATGGACATGCTGATGCTGTGATGTCTCTTCTTTACTGTAATGGGTGTTTGTTCTCATGCTCACTAGACTGCACTGTTAAAGTTTGGTTCGCAAAAGAAGGACAAAATTGGGAGGTGATCTACTCTCATAATGAGGAAAATGTATGTGCCTTTTCTTCACTTCTGTTTTTGTATTTATGCATTAGTAACCTATTCATGTTTCTTGCTCAGCTTTTGCATGTCTATTTACAAAATTACAACAGTGAACTGGTTTTTAATCGATGAAGGGCATGCTAAAAAACGTCAACCAGTCAATAGCATCATTATTCAAACTAGGAACTAGGAAAACAATTCATTTGCCTCTGGTTGATTGATTTTTTTCTTTTTCATTCGAGTTTTGTGCTTAAGTTTACAATTGCTGTTTAACTAGGAATATTGGTAAGAACCTAGGTGACATAAGCAACTTTGCAGCAGACAGTGATGTAGTTTGAACACTAGAACTAGTAAAAGATTGAGGAACAAGAGGTGCAAAGGTAGTACTGTAGATGATATGCCTCTTAGTTTTGAAGAAAGGGAATCATAGCTCCATAAATTAACATGATGGAAGGACTTTTGCAGTCGGCTATTTCTCATTAATTTGATAATATTGAAAAAAAAAAGTGCTAATCAAATTTGTTGTTTCATTAGTAATTGTTAGGAAAAGAAATTCTTTCTAAGGCCTGAAAGTTTTGATCAGTTTCATTTATGTATATGTTTCCTATAGTTTTTCTCTCTCTTCCTCTCTTTTCAAAGCGCATGCATTTTAAGTCTGTTTTATACATTTGTAATCTAGGCCTAGAACCCTGACTACCCAAATTTTTGCTGTGAGGTTATTCAGTTTTACGAGTAATGGGTGAACATGAATATTTGCTTGCAGGGTGTGCTCACACTTTGTGGTATGAATGATGCTGAAACTAAACCAGTTTTGTTCTGCTCTTGCAATGACAACACCGTTCGCCTATATGAGTTGCCATCGTGAGTATATAATTCTCCCATGCTTCTTCTAGATATGTGAAAGCACTGTTGTTGGCTTAACAAAATTTCATACATGGAATACTAATGAATGAATTTACCCTTTGTGCTCACAGATTCAGCGAGAGAGGCAGATTATTTTCTAAACAAGAAGTCAGAGTGATTGAAAGAGGTCCAGATGGCCTTTTCTTCACAGGGGATGCAACTGGCTCGTTGACTGTTTGGAGGTGGCTGCAAAAGCCTCAAGGAGGAGCCTCATGATTGTCACTCAAATTGTTACTGCCTCCTCTGCTGCTGCCAATATCAACTTTTTGGCTGTATATTACTAGAGATATAGATGAAGATGTATAAAATTATACCATACGTATAATTCTGTTTTTATTGGTTGTGAGTTGCGCAAACTACTAATTCAATTTTGTAAAAAAGAATGAAAAAGTTCATTCATGATTGTCGCTCTGTGTTGAGGGAATAAAATGCTGAATTTGAATACCAGATTGTTTCAATTTATAGGCTCAGATTATATAAGGATTGTGTGTATGTGCCCAATAGTAGTCTTCCTCTTTATTAACTTGATGCACAATTAAATGTCCCAAATATAGCTACTAACTTCTTTTAGCATTTGCATTGTTACACTTGGAGACAAACCAAAAAAATTAATTTACTGATATTTAGATGTAGTGAATATTATAAAATAGTGTAAGCAAAAATTGAAAATATCAAAAATTTTAAATTTAACTCAGTTAATTCATACAATCATTATTAATAATTAATATTTAATAGATTTAAAATTCAAATCTTAACACTTATAACTCTCTTTTTTTTTTTTTATTCTCAAAATGCAACTTCTTTTGTAAAAATTTAAAAAAAAAAAAAATCAAAAACGAAAATAGAAAAGAATACATAGTCACCCTCACTTTGACATGTATACATAAATGTAACATGCGAAGTGAGTTCTTTATTTTGTATAAAAAGCAACACAAAGGATTGAAATTTTTACAAGACTATTGCAGTTTAAATTGAGACTAAGCCTAGGAATGGAAATAACTCAACTGTTATCTAAAACACTTAATTTGAATGGGCATTGATGGTGGAGCACATATATTTCCAACTTCATTGACATAAAATAGTCTATACGGGATAAGCACAATTCATACTTATGTTTTCACTAGGATCTAATGGCCAATCATATCCCGACAATCAATAGTTTCATCGCATCATGAGTCCTCACCATGGAGTCGGTACATCACCGTGATCCTATCATAGGATAAAATTAACTATGGGTGGAAAGAAATCTCGAAATATGCAGGCTGGGCTAATGTGACCCTTGGCATTCACAGCCTTTTTTATTTTTTTGGATGGGCTAGGGTTGGAATGCATTAATGAGATGTAATGTAAAAACTTTCCACCATCTCAGTGGATCACATTAATGGAACTTTGAATTAAACATCCCCATTGAAGTCGACATTGTAAGTGGAACGAGTTTCATCCCTCTCATTCTCTTTCGGTTGTATTTGTGTAAGTTTTACTTTGAGAGCCGCCCCCAAAAAGTTAAAATCTACACTGGGTATGCAAAAGGAATGAGGCTTCGAAATTTTTCAAAAGTTAAGGAGTTGCCAGAAAAAATCCATTCTGTTTTAATTTTAATTTTTTTCAATTAAAAAACCATATATATATATATATATATGTATGTGTATTTGTATGCACACGTAAATACCAATTTGTGTGTACATCTACTATTCAAATATTTTTAATAATATAAAAACGAATGCATTGCATATTTGTGTATATAAACATTATTTAAATATTTTTTTAAAAAAATAAAAACTAAACATGCAAATAAAAGAGACTTGGTACAGTCGTCTAAGTTCAAATAAGATGTTCACTCGTGAACTAATAATGTCATAAAAACTGGATATGAAATATAAAATTACAGGACAGCAAACAAACTGCTTAGAGCATAATGGGATTTATCCCTAATACAACCTTGTTTTCTTAACTACTGCTATATAAAGTTGGAAATATTTCCTACTATAATTTACAGTAACAGTAGTGGTATTCTGGACAACCTTTAATATCAACTTAGCCAGACGAAGGCCATACCCATTTTTATGACCACAACAAAGGATAAAAGTTCAATAGAATTCTAGCAATCCATGGCTACAAAGCACAAACAGTACCATAAAACAGGTATAAACATTCATTTTCAATGCCCCAACTTAAGCCTTGAGGAGCATTTTCCTTTAGTATTCAAGAGACCCCAAGGATGCAACCCCATTACCAGAACTTCTCAACTCCTGTCTACTCATGTAGACATCACAGTTATTGCTGCTATTGGCAGCGGTGAGCCTTTGGCTTGGGACGGAGGCGGCAGGATTCAGGCCTTCTTTCCCCATTTGTTGCACTTCAAGTGGAGATAGTACCTTGATATACCACACATTGTTCACGAATTCCCTGATTATAACAAAACATGCAACAAGAAATTAATCCACCAAAAACAAATCTTGAACAATCCATCACTTTCACCACAACGGCAAAACTCTTAAGAAAGAGAGTTCCAGATTTTAAATTTTTCTTCCGATGCTTTGGGAAAATAGTCAAGCCAGAAGTCAGTTACATATACATACATAAATTTTGCATAAGGGAGACATCAAACATATTCATCACCGTAGTTATCCACCATTCTACATTACTCTAGAGCTAAGCTACATGAAGTTGGGAGCCTTAACATACCACATGCTACCAGGAATATAGTCAAATGGGACAAAAATTATCTAGAACAACTAAAGATGAGGTTGGATCATAAAGAAACTGAAAATTCAGGTTCCTCAACTTTAAGACTGCATGAAACAAAAAATTACACTAATGTAACTATTCCAGCGACAGAACCCACACTCAGTTGCATCATTATTCCAAAGTATTTTGGAATGGTTATACAAATCATTTCTCAACTTCAATCAAGACTGATAAATTGTATAACTTTCAATCGTACCTTTAACGTCTTCAATCCACCTTAACCCCTCTTCAACCCTTTCATTTGTTGGATACCGTTTTGCATCAACAAAATCCTATATTGCACATTAGGAACAAATCTTTTGTCCATTCAATTCCACTTCTTTCACCACCATTTTATCCTCTACCTTTCTTTTCTTTTTTTTCCCTGAATGATTGTTTGATCCTCAATTTATATCAGTTTTTTGCGTAGGCACATCATTATGCAGACAGCAAAAGAATCTTTAAATCTTTAAACCCTAATCCCTCCATTTGTTGGATCATTAAATCTTTTGGAACATAATAGTCTAGTAAACATTCCTACATCACCTAGGTACTCCCAAACCAAAATAAGAATTCCATGACTTCCATTTTCAGCACAGCCTCCTGATGCAGACAGCAAACATGTCAAGAAAAGATTAAACACCAAAATGTGCGAATATTATATTCTTTATTCAATTTATTGATTGGAGCTTACATACAAACTAGCAAGTTTTATTTTCAGTAGGTTGTGTTTTACAAGGGCTTAAATATAGGCTTTAATACCTAAGTTAAAAGTTCAGCTTAGTGTTAAAAACCTAACTTAAGCAGCTGATAGTAATGAAGAGCTACACATTTTTGTAATCTCTGTCAATACTATAAATACTGCTACTGCCTTTCACAGAATATTTAAGCTTGCTTTATGCTTGTCTAATCACTGCTTAGGTTTTTTTCATTTTATTTCTTTAATGATTCTTTTTTTAAAATATAGGTTTTTTTATTTTATTTCTTTAATGATTCTTTCCTTATTATAGTGAGAATGTATCAATTCTGGAACTTACAACTGCCCCTTAGTGCCAGAATTTTAAAAGCCCCAAAATTAATCATTTGTTAGAATCCTATTTCTTAGTTCATTTCTGAACACTTAATCTCCAACTATCAGAAATTTAAATGATCCTACAGATAATACAGCGCAGGAAACCTAATCAGCATCCAGTAGCTTGAGAGGTGCAATTTTTCAACACAAGTAGAGAGAATCAGCAATAAATGAGAGCTACCATCAAGGAAGAGCATGTTTGAGGAAAAACACTTTAAATTTTAATTCATGAAAGGTTCTAAAGCTTGTCATACCATCTTGACAAATAGATTCAAAAGATTGCAGGTTGACTCATAATAAAATTTATTAATGCAGTGAATGAATTAGTAAATCTGGCGCAATAATCACAAAACTGTTTAATAACTGAAAAAGATTTCAAGTAAATAGTAGTATCAGATGAACTTATGTTTAGAGTGCACTTGAGTAAGGACTCTTTTCAGACAATTAAAAGGTTTTATTGATGATAATTATTAAGTTTGATGAACTATATCATTGTTCGTGACAGTGATGGAAAAGAATATTCTCCTAATTGTCTGAAATTTGCTGCAATAATTATAAAGTAGAGAAAGGCCACAGTCACACTGTCACAGACAATTATTCATAAATGAAGTGTGGTTTGGAACTTACTGCCAAGGGTCATCACCAAGGAGAAGAATATCATTCTCCCTGTCAACAAATACAAGCTGCCAGCCTGATCTCTGAGGATCCTCTAGTTGGCCTTCAAGACCAAACATTCGAGCTAGCTCAAAGCGCAGCTCATCATAGCTGCTGAACGTGGAAATATCCAATGAGCGCCCAAAGGACCCTGACTTGTGAACCTGTCAACATGCATAGAATCAAAAACCATGAGAATCGCAAGCCATAAGAGAAACTAGAAATAATCCTATAATTAGTTTTCAAAATAAATAGAAAGTCACTAATACAATATCATCAATACACGAACTGTGATAACTATAAGTTTGAGAGGCTATAAAATAAAAGTTTGAGAGGCTATAAAATAACCAGTTGACTTTTCCTGCCAAAATAGGAAAAGAAGAACGGTTGCCTTCATTAGCAATCGCATTGTCCAAAGACCTTTGCATTACTGAAGAAAGAGCTATAGTTGACAAACTTATACCCACTGTTGTCTGTTGGGTGTTACATCAGAGATCTATTAGAAGGAAGTGATCCACAAGTCCACATAACCAAGCTTTGCCTAAACTAATGTGAGCCTCACAAAGTGATTTGTACACCTTAGCAACCAGCCAAGACAACCCCCGCATATTTCACCCATCTTAAAAAGATCAAAGATCCACTTGCAAAGATAAAAGAAAAATACTATTACCTTCACATACATTCTGGTTGGAGGGTTTACGTGGTTCACATTTTCAGAAGACTGCAAGTAACCAGATTCATCTACACAACTTGAGGTAGTCATATCTGAATTAAGAGGAAAATCTGTGCCAGAAGCACTTGTGAAATTCGAAGCAGCATATGGCAGAGACAATGAATCATTTTCATTTCGGATATTTTTCAGGTTTGTCATCCCATGCTGCAGCATAAGAGATGACGAATCAATGCTAACCCCAAACAGAAGATTGTTTTGTGGCTCAGTTGAACCGTGGTAAGCAGCATACTCTCTTCCCGGAAATGGAGGTAATAAGTTAGAAAGTTCGGATACATTTGACTGTGCAGATCCCAACTGTTCAACCTGGGGCAGTACACGGTTAGCAGGTCCAGATGAAAGCTGCGGTTCAATGGCTACTGGTTTGGACAATAAAGCAGAAGAAGAGATAATTGGGTTTGATCCACTCAAGTTGAGTAAATGGGAAGCTCCAGCATGGGATAATGAACCTAAGATACTTTGCATAGAGGAAACATCAGATGTGGCTATAGAATTCCCAAGATGGTCAGAAAATGTCTGCTGCTGGCATCGTGAAGCAACAGCTGGCAGAGATGAGGACTGGACCTGATTGGCTGATGCAGAAGGAAATGCAGGGATTACATTAGAAATCTGTTGAGGAACAGAAAACTGTGGCAGTTGCTGTGTTTGTTGAGACTGTTGCTGCTGCGGTTGCTGTTGATGCTGTTGCTGTTGCTGTTGCTGTTGCTGTTGCTGTTGCTGTTGCTGTTGCTGCTGTTGTTGCTGTTGTTGCTGATCATTGTATGAATTGGCACGCTGCAACTGCTGCAGAAGCTGAACCTGTGAAGCAGTCTGATTCTCCTGAAAACCCTGAAGAAAGGCATTTTGTGTTTGGGACTGCTGCAACATCTGCCTTTGAATTAGACAAGGCGACCCATTGGATGTGCTCTGGGGTTGCTGGAATTGCAAGAGAGATTGAGAGCCTATTTTGGATGAATCAACTGTCCTCATTTCCTGAAGCGCGGCAGCAGCCATTGCTTGGTAAAGATCAGGTTGTACACCTGGTATTGAAGAAGTATCAAGCCTTGGCTGTATCCAGGGTGCAACTCCAAAACCTTGGAAGTTTAAAGACTGAATTCCTTGATCTCCAACCCCACCTTGAAGCCACATCAATTGGGAATTGATACTCATATCACCATCTTTGAAAGCTGGTAATACAAATTAAACTCATTCAGTTCAGAAAAGGAAAACTCCTAATTTCAGGTCTAGTCAAGAAGATATTGTGTGTAATTCCAAGCATCCTTAGCAAAGATTCTAGCATACCATGGAAGGAGGGTACCGCAGACGGCCATGGTCGCTTCAATCTCAGGGGGAAGGATGATGGATACATAGGGAAGGTTGTTAATGGTTCAATCTCCCACAAGGATACTCTTGGCTGTCTCTCTCCTGCAGTGGATTCGTCCCAGCCAACCTGGAATGTAAAGTAATTAATGTCAGAAAGTAATGAACACATTGCCTTTTTAGGGAAAAAAAAAGAAAAAACAGATATAACATTGGAAACTCAAATAATGCACATAGAAACTTCAAACAAACCTTAACGGAGCGCCAATGAGAATTTGGCCAGCGAACAGGATCCAAGTCACTAATGCCAGTTATTGTACCCATATATCTGATACAGAAATACTCAAGTTAAGAATCGGCCACTTACATTTAATAGAAGTATTTACTTGAGGAAAATAAAAACCATTGCTGCAAAAGGAAACACTGTAAAATTTAATCAACTCCCAGATGCAAGAAAACATTTAGAGAATTAAGACCCACCGGCGGACACTTGACTCTTCTGTCTCAAACAGCATTCTAAACCGCATGCCTACAGAAACCCGGGTGTGATAGACTGCTTTAACATACTTGGCAAGAGGAATGACAAACTCGGAAGGACTAGCCCTGCAATCAAGCTATTGTAAATAAGCAAGATCTTATATTGTAACAGCATCAGTCTTTGTCAAGTAGTATTAGGTAGTTGACCTTGGGTTATAAAATATAGTAAAGCGACTATTGGTTGCAGCCGCATGAGCTGCTGCAGCAAGAAGACCAATGTGCATGCTATCACTTGATAAAACAGAAGAAGGCATAACAGTCTGAGGACGATTTGCTCTCCGGATACCCAACAACAATTGATTCTTCTCATTCCTGATAGAAGAAAACACAAAAAAGAAACCAGAAAGATAATAGGCTGCTTAGCAAGCTCATTGATCAGTGGCATGGCAAGAAAAAAGCAGTCAAGCTGTACTAACTATCAACATATAAATGGTGCACACTAAAGCTGGCAAAGTTGAGTCAAACACGAAAACCCGCCCAAACTGAGCCCGACCCAACCCAATTTTGACCAAGAAAAGTCACCTGAAACAACCAAAACTAAATTGATTTGACTTCAAAACTAAACAATTTGGTTCCAAAATGACCCGAACCCGAGCGTCGAACATGATTGAGTCGAAACTGATGCAACCCGAACCTAACATGACCCAAATTTCCAGACCAAAGTGACCCAACCTGCCCAATTGCCGCCTCTAGTGCACACAAGCAGGATGCAAACTGGTAGGCTCATCACTTTCAAAATGAAAAATAGAAATGAATAAATTATTGGAGAAGATATATTCATATACCAAAAAATTGCATTCATAAAATTCTTGCTTCCAAACCATCTAAGAAGGATGATTTCACTAGATTGTTTCAAGTCCTATCAGGGATTAGACAGCTATTAGCAGGATGCTTCTCCAGCCATTCACAGAGCAAAGTTACTTTGAAAACGAAGTAATCATAAATTATATTTGGAAGACAGGAAAACCAATTTACCAAATAAAAAGGACTGAATCACCAGCAACAAGTCTCTTTGCACTAACAAAAACACTCCACCCAGTTGTAAGAAGATGCCTCTTCGGCTGGCCTGCATACGAGCGTAGAGACAAACTGATTAGACATTTGTTACACCCATTGAAATTCAAAACCTTTTCATCATACAAGAAAGCATCTATCTCTCAAAATATAAAAAGTAATTCACCAAAAGTGACCCATAGACCTGACAATTTCAGATATAACACGGTGGTACGGTACGAAAACAACATGAAAAAAATTGCATGTGTTAAAAAAAAAAAACGTGTTTCATGTTCATTCATGTTGACACGAATTTTGACACAACACAATTCGTGTCTTATACATGTTGACACATCTTAACACGTAACAACACGAATAATACGTTTAATTTAATATTGTCATACGTATACACGTTTAACATGTGTAACACGTTTTTTATATTTATTTTATTTTAATATAAACATATATAGATTATTATAATTTTTAATCTTTTAATTATGAAACTTAATTAGCTATTTAATATCATATAAGAATTATTTTAAACATTTAATTATGATATTCATTTAATAATTATCATAAAATTATTTTTTTTATATTAATAATATAAATACAATATAAATATTAATATTAATCATATATATTATTTTATTCGTTAATCTTTAATAGTTTATCATTTTAAATTTGATATTAATATAGCTATGTAATATATATTAAAATTTAAATATATATTAAATGGGTATTAATTTTTTTTTATTTTTTTAATATGTAAGTACTTTTTTATATTATTAATATATCAAGTTTATTAAGTTGTAAATAATAGATAGTTTATAATTATTTATTATTTTAGTTGTGTTCTTGTATATATTCGTGTTAATCATGTATATTCGTGTTAATTGTATCTATTCGTGTATATCCATGTTATTCGTGTTTATTCATATCATGTTCAAACGAATTAATTATATACATGTTAATCACGTCGTGCCATATGTAACACGTATAATATACATGTAGTGTTCATGTTTAGGATTTAAACACGTTTTATAATTCATGTGGTGTTCATATTTTAACAATTCATGTCATTACACATGTCAAACATGACACGCAAACACAGATTGCCAGGTCTAGTGACCCACAATAAATGCTACACTCGAAGCATTAAATCTGAACAAATTCCTATAGGAATTAGGAAAAATTGCTGATTCTTCTTTAACAGGCAACACATGATCAAATATGAGGCAAACCTTCATATGAATCCAACACACGACATAGCCTAAAAAAGTAACAGAAGGAGAGTAATATTCCATCTGATAATGATTTTGTCCAAAATTAAGGGGTGGAAGGGACTAATTACTCCATTAACTCATGACTCCCATTCCGTATAAAATTTGATCCCCTCAAGTATCATGCATACCAAAAATATTCCCAAGGAGTCTTCAAATGTTATTCTTACAGAATTACTACTAGATGACCATCATTAGCCAATATTTAAGCATTTCATTAAGGGGTGTTTGATTCAGATGAACCCACAAATTTTCCCTCGGAATCTTACTAGTGAGTATTTGATTCCAACGTTTGGTTCGAGATAATCCGATTACGGGGGAAAGTGACAAATTCCCAACAGTAGCCAAAGTCCTGAAATCAAAAACCCGCCTCTCACTATGATATTCTAGGATTCCGAGGGAGAAAGTAGCATTATTTCCAAATTTGACCTCAATAAAAATTGCGAAATAGCTGTTACTCTTTTAAAAAGCATGTTTGAAAGTGACTACAACTCAATTATAGGTTTTTGCTGCTAAATTTTTTTTTTTTGTGATTGCAATTAATTACCCTTTTGAAAAGCATGTTTAAAAGTGACTGTAACTCAGTTATAAGTTTTTGTTGCTAATTTTTTTTTTTTTTGGTGATTGCAACTAATGACATTTGGCATGAAAAAAAATCTTAAATAATCCCTTAAAAAAACATTAAAGTGCTAGAAGAAAAGGTCAAACCTATGACCTTATGATTAATAATCATATACTCTAACCAACTGAGCTACTCTAGTTTTTTTATATTTTATCTCTTAAATCTTATAAGTAATGAAAGGGATTATTTAAAGCGTTTTTGTTCAAAAACGCCCTAAATAATACCCTTCAAAAGCGTTTTTGGTCCATAAACGTATTAAATAATCTCCTTCAAAAAACATTAAAGCGCTAGAGAGAAAAGTTGAACCTAGAACCTTATGGTTAATAGTCATATAATCTAACCGACTTAAATAATCCCCAATATTTTTTTATTGATGATATTTTATAAATAAAAACAGTAATCAAATAAAACATGTCTTCTTTTACTACTAACAGCATCATTTGTCGTTTGGGTATTTATTATTAATAAAAATTAATAAAAAGTTGCCATCATATATGTCAAAAAGATTATGATAATTATTTAAAAATTAATATGTGGATTCTTCTCAACCAAACGAGTGAATTTGAACACGAGATACCCTGAAAATGGAATAAAACTCCGGGTATCACACTTTCCCGGGTATCACACTTTCCCGGGGATCACACTTTCTCCTAGAATTCAAGATTCCGCGAACCAAACGCCCCCTAACTGTTTTCAACAAAAAGCCTCAATCATATTAGTCTTAACAATGGCCTCACATTTCTGGTGAAAAAAAAAAAGGACTTATGCTCATCAGGGGCAAAACATTAACGACAAATCGACCTTTGTAAATTGCCAGAAACATTTATTATTCCTATCAGACAAACTCATCCTCCACATCTAAAGCATATATTTCCCAAAACTGAGGAGCTCTTGAGAAGGTCATCATATTTCACAATTTGCTAACACCAACATCAACCAAAATTTCTGTACTGGAAAAGATGACCTAGAAACTCTTAAGCAATTGCATGGCGAGAAACAACAAACACTTACCAACCAAATGGACATGCTGAAGCAGCAAAATTCAAAAAATAAAACACATCCAACAAAGCAAGCAAATGCATTAATAGTAATATCTTATTAAAAGATTTCCGATTCCAGTATTTTTTTTATCTTGACCATCACAAATAACTAACTTCACTTTGTAAGATTTGCATATTAACCAACTCCAAAAGAAAATATTTAAATCTCAGCTCCAGAGATTCTTAGCCACAATTTAACCACAGCAATAACTGATGCAGAATATCCAAGGACATTCTGGGGTCATCAACTGAATTATTCTTTGAGAATTGTTTTTTGAAACTTTTAGAAACAACCATACAAAACACCCAAGGGTTTAAGAAATGTTACAGCACCTTCAAAACTAAACCAATAATTTATTCAAAAAGTTAAGAAACTGGATTTAAGATAAATACAAAATCAAATGAAGGTGATGACAAATAAAACAATGAAATCATGATAATTTGAAAATTCTTTTAAAAAATTGCTGGAACAAAATATTGAATGAAGTTGTTTTAATCACTCACCTCGAAATATATGCCTAAATTTCCACTCATTATCATGAAGATCCCTCGCAATTAACTCTTGAGCTGGAGGTTGCTGGGAAAAATCCTGAAGGTAGAATAGAAATTAAAAAATATATATTTTAACAAAAGAGATAACAAGTCAAACTAATTCAACTAAAACCAGAAACTAGTGAATTGAATTGCTTGTAACGACTAAAACTTACAAGAGGAGGAAAGACTTTTTCTGCAGCTCGACGAGGAACAGAAAATCCTCCATGGGTGCTTGTGTCACTTGCTGTCAGTGTTTTACAAAAATAATTGGTTGGCTGTTTGCTGGGAGTACCCAGTTCTGCGGGCAGTAGGTACACATCCTTTTGCTCTTGCTACAAGAATGTTCTCAAGTCAAGAAGTGAAAAATGACAAAAGACTAGCAAGCACTAAATATTCAAACAAGGTCAAGTTCCCATACCGGACTCAGTGGCTGCAAGGTCATTTGAGCATAAACTTCATCTGTTTCTACATCTGCCTGTACTTGAAAGAATAAACGCCTTGATAAGCATCAAACTAAAGTTCCATAAACAGAAAGTAGTTTATGCAGCATTTAACTTACATGCATAGTCACATTGTGAAGCTGACAGATAAGCTGTGGGGGTAAGCTTGGATAGTTTGGTATATGAGCATCTACTTCCTTGTTGGTTGAAGCAGCAACCTGCAGAGGGAATCATAGACACCAATAGCACGTTGAAATATTAGAACTGAAATATACAGTTACTCATAGAGTGCTCTTATTTTTTAGGAGCTTCAGCTGTTCACTCAGCAATTCAAACACTAACAACTAGACTAGAGGGATGAAATTCAGCAATACTGAACTGGTTCAAGGAAGTTCTACAATGCATATCACGGAAAATTTTCTACATCCTTACATAGCATCTTAAAATTCTATATTATCCTTAAAAACTTCTGCATGTTGAACTATTTTGTTGAGCACATATGGTGAAACAGAACCAAATTTGAAAGAAAAAATGAGAAGTGATGCAAGTATAGTTACCTGTTCACTGTGACCTTGGGGAAAGTAAACAACGCGGCTTCCAACAGGTGGCAGAGACACCAGAGGACCCGCACATGCATGCCAGAGTTCCGAATTCAAACATTTCTTCTCCCCTACACATAAATCTTTCACTACTTCATAATTTCGAAAAATTAAAAACTTAGTGCAACTGTATACTTCAAGAAAATACTAAAAGAATTAAAAAAAAAAAAAGCTAAAAAAGTTACCTTCCTGAGTTTGCTGATTAAACCCTGACGAAGAGAGTCTCATTCTTCAAATCTCAAAACAAACAAGGGTGCCTTTTTTCTCAAAATAAAACCACAAAAAGGAGTGGTTGAATGGAAAATTTATTGAAGTAGCCTCACGGGTCGTACAATAGCCATATCTAAAAGGAAAAGAACCCACCCACCCCCCACCCCCCCTTCTCCACCGGAAGCTTCTCAGCTTAAGTTAAAATCAACATCCAGAAAAAAGGGAACTACCCTTTACTCAGCAGCGCCTGATGAAGCTCAGATCTTGCTTCTTTTTCATTAAAAAAAAAAACCCAAACTCTCCCCAGCCAAACTAAACCCTAGCTCTGTTCTTAACCAGATCTCCAAATTTCAAAGCTTTCCCAAACTATACTCTCACCCCACCCAAAGTGTCCCTTTCGTCTGATTATTGGAGCTGCTCAGTTGAGTTGGAAAACTAGAAAATGACACTTTTTTGTTTTTGAGAGAGAGAGAGAGATGACGGACTTGACAGCATGTTGAAAGAGGGAGAGAGAGAAAAAATTGAAATCCGCAATGAATTTAATAGAAGAGAATTGTGATTATTTATTGTTTTCCTTTTTATGGAGGGAACTCAAGTTTTTTTTCTCTCCCAGAATTATTGTTACTGTAAAAATGATAAAAGATAAATGATGTTGGCCCTTTGATGTTTATCCTGTCATGATCAATCTAGTGGGGCCATACATGCAGTGCAAAAAAAAAATCTCCTTTTACCACTCAAGTTTTTAAACTCAATCAAGCTGGCAAGTTACCATGTACATGTCTTTAAAGTATATAAATTAAACTCATATAATAAAAATTATTTCTTTTTGTTTTATACCCATGTGAAAATTGTAAATTTCACAAGGCTTATTTATTAATTAATTAAATTTTTTAATATTCATAAATATTTTTTACTATGATGCTTATCAAATTTTTACTTTGTTTTTTTACTTAAATCAAAATTTCATCACTCTCGATTACCAAATTAAAAAAAAATACTCTTCTAATTTAATTTTTGAAATTGTATACCATTGGTTTAATTTTATTTATAAAATTAAAAAATTACATTAATAAAATATTAACTTATTAAATAAATATTTTACTAATAAATATCTTTAGGTTATTATATAATATTAGTTTCATTTATTAATTTAAAAATTATGAATATATCTATTAATTATAACATTTAATATACAATTTTATAATAAATAATACATTAACTAACTTTAAAACTGTCCTAAATGTAGCTGCAAGCAAAATCTATAAAATAAAATAAAAAACGACCTTGAGTTGGTAGTGGTACTGGTACCTTAGGGTAGGGCAGGCGGAGCACTCTTACTCTCGTTGTTGGGCGCCCATTGGGACGGCAGCCCAACCCCAAATGGGGCCCTTCCCTGTTGACTGAAAAAACATGGGTAAGACCCGACCCAACCCCACCATTACATTGAAAATTAATTATATAATATCATAAATACTTATTAAACTATAGTAAAATATTAATTTAATATTTAAATTTTAAAATTTTTAATATAATATTTAAATTATAAATCTATTAATTAATAGGATATTCACTTCTAGCGTAATTAGCTTCAAATAATAATATGTGATGAATAAATGATTATCTAAATATAATATTAATTAATAAATTTATAATTTAAATAGTATATTAAAAAAAATTAATTTAAATATCATATTAAATATTTTATTATAATTTAAGAATCATTTGTCACATTATCGCAAGATTAATTCATCGCATTTTAACTTTATTATCAGGAGTTTTATCATTATTTTTTTCATGTTTTTGTTAGACATCATTCATTGCTCCCAATAGCTTCATAATTTCATTTCTACTATATGTTTTATGGTCCAAGAAGGAAGAGGCTGAGTAGAATCTTTTATTTGTACCCTAATTTTTACTTTATTCACTCCATTATTCCATTATTAATAATATCTCAAATTCAAATTCCTTAAATTTATTTCTACTCTTTACATTCCAAACTCATAAATTTATAATATGTTTACTATCTTCATCCTCATTTACAAGCCAAATCCTTAATTCCTTTTCCTTCAACATTTTTGTTCTCCTCTTGATTCTCACTCAAATCAAAGTTTGAAATTGTCAATTTTCAAATAAAATCAAAAAATCTCAACTCATCCATTCTAATATAAAGGTAATTTATTTATAAGGTCCAATGTTGTTACCTATACCCTTATTTTGGTCAAATGATAGAATTAATCATTCTATCTTAATATGTTTAAATTGGATCCCATATATTAGTTAATTGTCAAATTTAGTCAAATTATTAACTGTTTAAATTTTTTTCGTTAAAATTGGTAATGTAGCATTTGACTTTTCTAGTGTGACATTTTTTATTTATATGATTGTTGACTCTATTGACATGTCAAATTTTTTATAATGATGTGGCAAATTTTTTATCACATGAGCATTTTTTTTAGGTCAACTTTTTTCAAATTGTACTGTCTGTCTTATACTTTCATCAAAATGTGGAATTTGTCTCTCTACCTTAATATATTAAATTGGATCCCTATATATTAATTAATTATTAAATTTAGGGTATGATCTAAGGTAAGCACAAAATCATTTTCAGTACAAATGAGTTAGGTTGTAATAGGGTCTATAAGATAAATTTTGACCTTAATCATGGTTTTTTTTCCACATTTAGATAAAATTTTTTTGACATTTAAATTATTAATTGGATTTTAATTTGGTAAATTAGGTTTTAATCTAAAATTGAATTTTAAATCCTACATAAACTGGATTATTCATTTTATTTTCTTTATCCTTCTTTTTATTTATTTCTTTTCTTTTTTAATTTTTATTTTCCATATTTTTAAAATCTAAAAAAATATAAAATATAAAAATTAGAAAAAGATAAACAACAAAAAGAAATTTTTTAAAAATGAGAGAAATACCGAAACTAGATTAAGAAACCCACATTCAACAAACCCAGCAAACCCTGATATACGATCAACAATAAAAGTAATCAACAAGAAAATACTGTGGTGTTAATACCAATTTCTATATATCGATGGTTTATGGATTTTTTAGATAAAATTTTTAATAGTCGTTGAATTTTCCAATTGTTAAATTTTGGAAATCCCATCAAATTTTTTTTTATAGGACTTGTAAAAAGAAAGAAGACAGAAATTGGGGAAAAAAATATGAGAAAAAAAAATTAGACTCCGTTTGCTTTAAGAAAATATTTTTGTTTTTATTTTTTATTTTTATTTTTTAGAAAATAGTTTTTATTTTTAATTTTTGTTTTTAAAAAATATATTTGGTAAACGAAAATAAAATTATTTTCTAAAATGTAAAAGTAAAGAAATAAATAAAATATCAATAATATTAATATTAATGTCATTTAATTATAAATATAATATATATTTGTTAATTAATGACATTAAAAAGTGTTTAAATATGGCAACTTACAAAACATAATAAAAAGAAGTAATATATATCCATTGTTTTCACAATTAAAAATATTTTTTTTTTTTTTTGTATTTCAACCCATCTTCATTTTTGTTTTCTAAAAACTTATTTTTATTTTCAATTACCAAACATGTTTTCACTTATATTTTTAATTTTTTTGGAAAATGAAAACAGAAAATGGCTCTGTTTTCTAAAACCAAACACTATTTGTTTGTTTTTATAACATATTGAAACAACATTGTTTTGGAAAGTGGGTTTAATGCAACTCATGCATTGACTTATATGCTGATCTGGTTACGACCTAACCTATTTGTACTAAAAGGGATTTTTTGTTTTTTTTTTTATTTGTGCTTATGTCAAACCATAAATTCTACAATTAATTAATATATAGAGAACCAATTTAAATACATTAAGATAAAGGCACTAATTCAACATTTTGATGAAAGTACAAAAACTGGCCATAAAATTTGAAAAAAGTTAACATGGAAAAAATGTTGACATGGTAAAATTTTTTTGTCAAATTATCATTTTATACCACGTCATCATAAAAAACTTTGACACATTAACAAAGTCAGTAATCACGTAAACAAAAATATCACATCAAAAAATTTAAATGTCATGTCATCAATTTTAATGAAAAAAGTTTGAATCATTAATAATTTGATTAAATTCAACAATTAGTTGATGTAAAGAAATTTAATTTGAGCACATTAAGATAGAAAGATTAATTCTACTATTTGACCAAAATACAACAACAGATCACACAATTTGACCTACTTATAATGTTTTTAATGAGGGTAAATTTCACCTTTGGTCACTAAACTATCACTTAACTCCCAAATGGGTCACTAAACTTTTATTTATACCAAACAAATCACTCAAATTTGATAAATATATCCAATGTAGTCATCCTAATAGATTTCATCCAATATTTAGATTGAAAAAATGACATGGTCACCACATAAGCAACCATGTCAATTTTTGACACTGTTACTCTCAGTTTTCTCCAAGCTCAGCTCACTGTTAATTCTCATATCAAAAACACCACTGCTAGCATCTCTAACACTTAAGACAACCTAACATAACCATCACTAAAAACCAAAATCTTAAATCGAGCCATACTTAAACCATGGCAACCTTGAAGACTTAAGCCTCCTACAACCACTATCACCTATCATCACTAAAAAACAACAGTAGCATCTCATATGAGAAAACCTCCTACAACCACTACAATAATTAAAAAATAAACAATTTTATAAAAATAAAATAACCACAAAACCATAATAAAACCATAGCATAGTCTTTAGCTTAGCAAGCAAATATCCACCTCTTCCCTACATATTTTGCAAATAAAGATTTATTTGTATAAGTGGACAATAGATTGATTTGAGTAATGAATCAAAGGTTGATTTTGGAGTTAACAACAAATAAAATATCAAAACTAAATCTCCTCTTTCTTTCTCAAAAATAACAAAAACAAAAAAAAAAAGGCATTAAAAGAAGAGAAAACCAAAAAATGAAAATAAAGATTGCCAGAAGCACAATTACATGAGGCTTTTGGATTTTTTCATAATCCAAGAAAATAAAAATCAAAATTGCTTTCAATCCAAACACTATAAAAAAAAAAAAAAAAAAAAAAACAAAACTACTAGTGGATTGCCATTGCCATTATTATTACTATTAATGATGGCTTTTTGAAAGATCCAATTTTGCAAAAGAAGAAGAAAATGGATGTGGAGAGTGTGACGATAAGGAGAGGAAGTGAAAAGAAAAAGAAAGTGGCTAAGTGGGAGTGTGGTGTTGTGAAAGGATGAGAAACTAGTTTTTTCTTTGGGGCTGTGAAGAGGAAGAGACCATGTGGCACAATTGAGAACAACTAAAAAAAATTAGGGTTTGAGAGAAAAGAAGAAAAGCTTATGTGGCAAATTGTTAAAAAAAAAGCTTGCATTACCTCTTACATGATTGCTAATATGGTAACTATGTCATTTTTTCATCCAAATGTTGGATGAAATCTACTAGAGTGATTGAGTTTGATACATTTATCAAATTTGACTGACTTTTTTGGTTCAAATTAAAGTTCAGTGATCTGTTTAAGAGTTTCATAATAGTTTTAATTATTAGAGGTGAAATTTAAAATTTACTTTTTTTAATGATTGAATAGGTTTTATGATTTGTAATCTGTGTTTTTTTTTTTTTTTATAAAATCATGATTTACAGAAATACAGTTCTGTATGCCTTTGCAAGTTTTCGAGAAAATTTTTTTTTTATTTTCTAATATTCAATTTTGGAAACTTTTAGAAGTTTTTAAATATGTAAATCTAAAAATTTTTAAATATTTTTGAATTTTTATATCACAAATTTTTTTAAAAAATTTCGGATTTTCATTTTTTGAAGCTTTAATAGCTTCCGGATTTTTATATCCGAAAAGCTTCAAAAACTTCTACAGCGTCAGTCCATCACAGGTCCTTCGCCTTTCACCACCTCTATCTACACCACCACCACCACTCGTTCGCTTCCCACCTCCAACATGGTTTGAAGCCTCGCTTACCTCCAACATCTATAACAGCACCATCCGAAAGCCCTCCACCTCCAGCATCTATAAAACAGCCTGCTGTTTTTCTTCCGGTTTAATCCGAACGTGTATGTTTACGAATAAAAAGATCCAAAAATTAAGGCTTTATAATTATATCCTTATACTTATACACTCATAATTTTTTAATAATACATTTATAGTTTTATGTTGAACCGATATTCGTTATATATTTAGCAAAATTTCATGTTTGGTATGCTAATTGAATTATTTATAAGGCAAATTATCCTAAAATTTGGGTTATATTTATACAAATATATTGGTTTTGCAATTTTATTTAAAAATTTTTATTTTATGTATATTTTATATATACATATTTGAAATTCATTTTATAATTTCAAATATACATATGCGGCAAGTTTCATACATTTTCAAATATATATATCCAATAAATATTATATGTTATCGAATATATATATATATATATGATAAATCTTACATGTTTCTTAATATATTTATCCGAAAACATAAATACGACTAAGTAGGAAAAATTAAAATATAATTTATCAAAGATTAATTAAGATATTTCATATAGGATATTTTTGCGATAAAAAAAAAAAATTGAGTGTATTGAACAAAAAGAGTCGTGCTGATAAAAGCTCCCGATTTGAAAAGAGATAAACATTTTAGCCCTTGAAGTTAATAAAAATTACCTGCTATGCCATTTACAATGTCTACACTTTCTCAGAGCAAGTAGCGTGGTCTTTTGTTCAAAAGCCCATGCATCAATCATGTTGCTAGTTTTTTAACTATGTTTCAAAATCTGAACCAACCATAAATTGATCACCTCAACAATCAGAATGTGTATTGGCCAACAATAAAAGAATTCAACTTAATTTATTATTCTAAGTACTTTAAACTCTTATATGAATTCAGAGGTATAATTTAATCGAATTAAATTAATATATTATTATATAAATCAAAATTCAAAATTTAATTTTAGCCAAAACAAAAATAAAAAATTATCTTATTACTAAAGTAACATAAATTTTCAATTTGACTTGATGTATGATGCGGTCAAATTAAATAATAATTGAACTTGTTTACACCTTAATAAGAAGTGAATTGATGCTGGGGATAGTATCAGCATGGAAAGTCAACCAAAAGTACCAGTGAGCAAGGGGTGAAGGCACTGCCTTTGCCGGTGAGGGCGTTGCCACACTGACTTCCTTCCCAAATGAGGTTTAAGGCAATAATTAGAGATGAGACTGACAAATAGCAGTTGCATTGCATCCAATTGAAATTCCATTTTTGGTTATTTTCTCTTGTTTTGCTAATAAAAGACCCCTCTAAGAACATCTCCACTCCTGCCCCTTAAATGAAGGGTTAATATGTTACTTAGCCTTTGAACTATAACACTTTCCACAATTTAATATCCCGATTTGATACCCAACTTTCATTCGGTTATGTCATTTGCCTCAAACCTCAATTCTAATGTGACAAATCAATGAATGATATCATGATGCATGATGCATAATGCAAAATGCATTTTCATTGGCTAATATCTGCCTCATCATTAACCTAACACCATGCGTTAATGGTAAAAAAAAGCTTAACAGAAGCAAATTTAAGATACCAAATCGTGAATTTTTTTTTTTATAGATACCAAATCATGAAAAATGATATAAATCAAGAACCAATTTACATATTAACTCTTAAAAGAAATACCTATGAAATAAATCATTATCTTCATATTAGCCATTGCAATACAGGAATGCACTGCTCTTCCGTAATTTCTATTTATATTGTTTATACCGTGACAGGGAATAGCTGTTACACAAGTAGCTATCAGAATTCTGGAATCGACAATGAAATCTACTGTACGACATCAACTTACCAATACTGGACTCATACAATGCCTAATACTATACCAAAAGAATATGTTTAATGCCATATAGTTTTCATTTCATGCTACTTGTTTCCCTTTTACTTTATTCTTGTGCTGTACAATTGAATTTTGAATCATGACTGATCATCTTCTGTACGCGTCTTGAACACATTCTTTCATGAATTCATTCCAAGCTAGCAAAGCTGCTCCAATCGCAGGCTCCACCTGAAAATCATACAATAAAACAGCCAAAAAAGTAAGTTGTGATATAGGTAAAACAACATATTTAGCATTTGAATAAAGCGTGCTAGTGATGGCAACATGTCAGTCTGTCACCTACGCATTATTAAGGGACATTCTTCTAAACACATTAGACCATAGAGATATGTTTCAAGGGTTAATTTGAATAGAGCAATGAGTCAAAGGGAGAATAAATGTCTTGGGATATATTCAATTGGCAGAGTAAAAGTGTGTAATACGTGTGTGTAGGATGAAAAGTTATATGCAGGCAGAACAGCTTAAACCATGCCCCTACCCAAAACAATCTCAAGGCATGACAAATTAGACCATACTTGTCACGACAATTAGTTATCAGACAAAAGTAGTAGTCTGATGGTGTAGGCCAGCCAACAGACCCACTTGGGCAGGAGCATTTTGCCTTTCATTTATCCCATCTTCTTGTATGTTTTGGAGTTCAGATATTAATTCTGATACTTATTCCTAAACAACAGTTTCGGCATTTTGCATCTCCTTTTTATTTACACTCTGCTAATGCTCGTAGCAAGAACATGGGATATTTTGTAAGTAAAGTGGGCAAAAAAAAAAAAAAAAGATGACTGCACTTCATACATAAAAATGTGGATGATAATTGTACCGGGGCCACTTGGACCACACTAAAATATTCTTACCTTAGGCCTAATAGGAAGGGCCCCAGGGTAGTCCTTGGAGATAGAGTCCATGACTTCTCTTCCTATGTCCCACCTCTGGTTCGCTTCAAGAACACCGCCAACCATAACAAGAGGAAAAGAATTTTTTCCATCTGCAAGGGTAGATGCATAGAAATGGAAATTTAGCTGGCATATTCCAATCAACCTGTGGCAGAGCTATCAAAGGACAGACTTCCAAGTTATACATCATTGTTTCAAAAGTACATAATCCGCTGTTTTGCAAGAACACAATAGCTACTGATGATCATGATACTAGTAAGTTGTAACAATAAGAATATGACCGCAAATTTTTCTATAACACTTATTCAAACAATCAATTCAATTTACAGATATAGTAAATAAAAAATTTAGAAAATTACTTCTTATGACTTGGGATAACATGAAGTGAGCAAAATATATTAAGATTGGACAACTATATGAATGGCCCATGGAAATTAAGAAAATGCTTAGCAGTGCTGAAAAGAGCATGCAAAAGATTGTGACCTAACAATAACGGAAAGGGTCATTACAAGGTTATGATTCAAATAAAGCAGATACTAATAAATGCAGCCTCTTAAGAGTCCAAATTGCACTCCAGCACTTGCAAACCCAAGATGCGCCCTGGACAATGGCCCTTATAATGAACTAAATGATAATCTATTTAAAGACCAATCATTTTTGTTGAGGGGATAGAAAAGACCCTTCATTATGTTTCATAATAACTGCATGATATCTCATCCAGGCCTACAAATTCGAATCTAACTTTATTATGTCTGAAAGGTATAGCAAATAATTCTACGTTCTCCATATATTCAGATTTTCTAGAAGAATGAAATATCTTTATATAAATTTCGTCAATACTGCACTATCTGACACTACAAAGAATGTTTTGTTCCTAAATATAGGAATAATTCAACCAAACAAAAATAACACTCCTCTATTTCAGATTTAGCTGAATACACCCTACCTTCACCACACAAGCCAAGTCTCTGAACAACAGCTTTCACACTTAAAGCCAACTCTTGAACCGCCTCTTTCAAGATCTTATTCGCAACTTCATCACCAGCCTCTGCACAAGAGACAACAACTGGAACAAGTGCTGCAATTCGAGCCCAGGATGGATCTGCATAGGTCCACCTAAACCAATAAGAGAACAACAAATGAAATTCAACATTTTATTAATAGCTAAACCATGAAATTATAATTATATCAATCTATAACGTATACCTTAGTTGATGTTACAAACTTAGTGACACTACCTAACCATTCCTCTAAAGATTCAGAAGTTGTGAGAGAACAGAAAATAAATTTCCTACACGATAATTTAGTCGAGAGGGAATAATAACAAAGGTCCTTACACAAAAATTAAATAGGATAAATCACATTAATCTTGTGTGACCTTTTAAAGTTAGTTCCATTCCATCCATGATCTTTTAAGTGAAATGCAGCACCTCATGACCTATCTTAGCCATTAAAAAGTTGAGAAAAATGGCCCCATAAGCAGCAAGTGGCATGCCATTGGCAAACCAGGATAGAAAAATATGAGGTAAATTACACTCGTCATCCATAACTTTTTGCAGTTTGATTTCATCCATCAGTTTCTAATGGTAACATAAAAATCTTAACCACTTATAAGTGGTTAAATGTCATTCATCTGACTGATTGCATCAGAAATTGTATGGAAGTTGCTACAGAAGAAACACTTAGGATTACACTTGTGGCATGTAATCTAAAGAACAATGGTTAAAAGAAAAAGTAAATCCAGATTATTGACATATATTCCTATAAAGTCGGTAACTAGTCTATAATGACATAAATATATGAGCTTATAAAGTTCTGGAAGGAATTTTTGAGATTTAGTAAAAAGCCAATTCGAGCTTGGAGAAAGCAAGAGAGAAAAATGAATTTGATGAAAACAGAAAGTAGGAAAAAAAAGGAAAAAACAACAGAAAATCAAGGACTGCAGTGGTGCCAGTAGCAAGACTAGTTGGGAACATATGTGTGAAGATAAGGAAATGTGGAGAGGGGTTTGCGGTTTGGGTTTCTGATACAGTAAAAAAAGATGCAGACATGCGAGAAAGACACAAGAAATAAGAACAAAGAGCAAATGAAAAAAAAAAAAGAGAAAATGATTAATAATATGGCCGCTTCATCAATGTTTATTTAGACATTTACATGACAACTTATGTCCATTTTTAATGGCACTACAACATATTAATCACATTGAACCATTTTTAAGAGGTTAAATTTAAAGTAAAAAGCAGTACATCAAAATGAAATTCTATAGAAAGGTCATCGATAATAAGTGCAATTTACCTTATTTTTTCCAGCCACACATTTGCTATACAGCATGACTCATCTTGCTAACATTGTCTTTTTTTTTTACTTCTTAATGTTTGACCAATAAAAGGATGATATTGACACACTTATGCCATGAGTATAATGTTAAAATAGAAAGGTTACTGATAAACTATAAACTTACCTTAAAAGGACACAAATGAATAGTGCAATTTTCCAAATGAATATGAGTTACAGTGGGCTAATTTTTTGATTCATTCATATCCTTTCATTGACATCACAAATTGCAAAAAAATTCTAGGAGGCAATTATTAGCCGTATATTAAACCATTAAGCCATACATAACAAAGGTCCATATATGAAAATTTATTAATATAAGGTTCGTTCTGTTTTTTCGCAAAAATTCACTTCTAAAAAATGTAAAAAAATTTTATAATGTTTGACAAAAAATTGTTTGACAAACAAAAAATGACTCACTGGTCAACAAAAAATAATAAGATAGTTTTTTAAAACAAGCTATCCATGAGTAAGGCTACTCGCCAAACTCATGAGCTTAGTTTGACTCAAGTTGACCTTGGACATGTTTTGTTAGGTTCAAACATAAGTTTACCTGACTCAAAATATTATTATACTAAAAAAAATTATTATTATTTTATTTTAATTCAAAAAATATTTTAAAATATTAAAATATTAATATAAAAAGTCTTAATATTTTAATTTTAAATATATTTATTTTGATTATTATTAAACATAAAAATTTTTAATATTTTAATAATAAATATTAATATAATTCATAATATTTTATAATTTTAGTAATGAATATTTGATATAACCTTATTATTATTTTAACAATAATTTTTAATAGGAGTATTTTTAATCATTTCCTAATATTTTTAAATTTAAAATGTATATTACTTTTAATATTTTAATGACAAATGTTTTTTTATTACTATTTTAAATATTACTTTTTATAATTTAATCATAAATGTTTTCAATTTAAAAATATTACTCTTGTAATAGTACAAATATTTTTAATATTTTAATAATAAATATTTCTATTTTTAATATTTCATATTAAGAATTAAAATTTTAATAATAAATATTTCAATAGTTATATCAAATTACTATTTGAAAATTGAGTAAATTTTTCAAAAAGCAACAAAACAACATAAATATTTTGCATTGTCATCCAAACAATAAAAAATCTCTAATTTTTCAAAAATGTCAAAAATTTTTCAGCCATATTTAATCATAAATATTTTCAGCCATATTTTAATTGATCAACGACTTAACTTGTCTTTTAAAAGGAATAGCAATAAAGATATCTCAATAGAATAATTAGATAAATAAATACCCAATTAGTTCATCTGCAGAAGAAAGACCAAGTGTTTGCAAAATAGTAGATTGAAGCATCGTGTGTGCGCCACGACCATCATGAGCCCTAATTACAGCAGTTAGTGCCTGTGCAGCTATTCCATATCCACTGCATAAAAATAAATGGGCACATCAAGAAAACTACACTAATAACATGTCATATCAGGAGGCAAATAGAGGAGAAAAACAACTAGTGGCTATCATCCATGAAGGGTTAATAAGTAGGAGCAGTAAAAGTGCACTTAGTTAATGAAGCTCATCATCCTTAAAGCTAGCAGGATTGTAAAAATTATTAAAAGAAAGAAGACTGAAAGAGGCTGTTTTAAACAAGTGTCAAATTAAACTTTCTCAGTTAAGTTCTATTAAGCTAGCAATTTGCTTCTTTATGTCTTTACACACTTATTTGCACCATTCTATACCCGTAAGCACTTGATTCACCCATGCTATCTTTTCCATTTCTACACTTGGTTCCAACTTTATTGACATCTCAAAGAACTGATAGCTACACAGGGATATGGTAGACTATAAAGGAGATACTATGCTCCCTATAGAATCCTTGAAGTCTGTCGTAGATGGGCAAAAAATAAAAAAGAGTGCGCACCAGATCCCAGACAGCTTTAAAAATGATATCCAAGTTCAAGTAAAAAATTATAATGCCAATTGAAGCCTTGTAAGAGTACAGCTCCTCTCGTGTAAAGAATGATGCCACCAAACCTAAATAAAGGGACGTAAGCTTATGGAAAGAAGAAAGAAAAGTTACAGACCATAAAGGAGTTCTGGGCAGTATATACTTCAAGATACATTTCCAGGTAAACTTTGTTGTTGTCACAAATCACCCAAACAATTCAGTTTGTTATTCTAAACAAATTTAATGATCCAATTGAAAGCATAGCTAGTATACTGTCATAATTGCAGCCATCAGTATGTAGAAATTCACAAATGTAGAATTCAGAGCCAAGAATTCAGTTATCCAAAAAAAAAAGAGCCAAGATTAAGAAATTAAAGCATGAAACATCCAAGAATACTAGAATCACTGGTGGATCCACATGTAGAGTGGTGGTGTATTGGAAAATAAGAAAATTTTGAATGAAAATTTTTCCCTGGACAACCCCAAAAATTTTCCCTAGACACCCTTCCGTTGATAAAATTAGTAAATCTATCAGCATATAAATATATATATATTGTAAGTGGACACCTCCCCGAAAAAAAATCCTGGATCCGCCACTTAATGGAATCATTTTGATATTGCACTGATTTGAGACCTTAATTACACTAGACTAAATATTAATACTAAGTTCTTGATTTTTATGTTTATTTAGGATAGAGGTAGCTTGTTTTTCTTTTCTTTTATTTATGTTTCCTGGAATACCATGCAAGAATATGATATAATTCTTTTGGTAGATAAGATGCATTAATTTTAAGGATGAGTACTCTGCTTCTAATTTGTAGCAAAATGATTGTACAAAACTTCAAAGTTCAAACTATGATCGCACAGCACTTCAAAGTTCAAACTATGTGAATAAATATAATCATAAAATTACCACACTTCTCTCAGTTACCCACGTTACTAAAAGATGTCGCATGTCCATTTGGTTGGCAGATCCAGCCTAGAATGTTAGGCCAACTCTTGGATGAATTAGCTGGAGCATGTTGGTATTCTAAATCAGATGTGAGGTCTGGTTATCACCAGATCAGAATGAAGGATACTCATATTCACAAGGAAGCTTTCAGCATGCATCAGGGTCACTACAAATTCTTAGTAATGCCATACTCAATCTATCACCAAACACCTCACAAACAGTGAAACACTATCCATACCCCTTACGGTAACCAACCTAAGCCTTTCAATTCAAGAAATAACAAGCTTCAATACACACAATTGATGAATTAAATCAAATATTCCTTCTCTCTCTATTTGGTTACTCTCTCGATATTCTCTCTTGTCTCTCTTATCTCTTCTCTCTTATTCCTCTGCTACCATCAATTTCTGGATTTCTGTTTGGCTGCCGTTAAAAGAGTAAAAAAAAGTTTCTACTAGATTTCTTTAAAGGTTAAACTTCTTTCTTGCAATCAAGAGATCTGTCTTGAACTCAAAGTTCCCGTCCAAAGAAGCAAAAACTCAGAAAGCATCTAATCATTCTCCATCATTGTTCTTTTTTTCCCAAGAAAAATGCTGGAAAATAACATAAGTTAGTTAGCATTGTTTGAAAAATAAGGAAAGTGAAGTAGAATCAATTATCATCATTTGGTTCAATGATGATAAAAGAAATACTTACTTTCAAATAGCAATTCTTGACATGTGTTTGAAGTTGGTTCAATTTATGATTAGGAGGTTTTTATGATTAGGAGGTTATTTTCAAGAGAAATTCTAGACATGCCATTTGGTTCAATGTTGATAAAAGAAATATTTGATATGAAATAGCAATTCTAGACATGTTTTTGAAGTTGATTCAGCTTTTGGGTCGATCAGGTTTGGACTGTTAACTTTATGAGTCTGCCCAGAATGTATTTAAGGTAGATTTAGCCAGGTCGTTTAGATTTAAGTCAACTTTTTGCCAGTTCTGCTATGTTAGAAATGGCAGCTACGTTTGGTTTTGATTTAGGTAGGGTTTTCAAGTCATTTTGAGTTGAAGTTGTTGGGGGGTTTCAGGTTGGCTGGCTAATGGTTACATCAAGTTTGGGCTGCTTGATTTTTAAATGGTTCAAGTTGGATTAGTTAAGTTTCAGGTGGTTCAGTTTTTGCTACAGTTTCAGATTACGTGATGGTTTGGTTTCTTACTAGTGGTATATACACTTTCTCAACAGACAAACGAAAGCTCCACTTAAATCTTAAGAGACGAAAAACTTTGAACTTAATTGAGTGAAATATTCTGATTTTTCTTATCTTCTCATTCATTCTAGGGAATCAAAAAGAAGCTTCTCTTTCTTCACTACAGCCTGATTTATCCACAAATAATGAAAAAAAAATATTACACTAAATTAAATCAACCTTTTGTTTGATTCCCTTCATCAACTCAAAGTACTAGTATTTTGTCATTTTTACTTAAGTCATAGTCCTTATGATGAAATGGAGCCACTTAATGAAGATTAAAAGCAGAAACACTAGAGACTTAAACCTCCTAAATATGCTACCTAGGCTTGGAGGAAAATCTTAAAAGAGACAAACAAGGCAAGGCCTCTTATCAAACATGTTATTTATCATGGGAAAATACTTCTTTTTGATAGGATAATCCATGTTGGAGTTCACTTGTGAATCACTTGAGAGAAGATGAGATAGATGATCTTGGTATATCAAAAAGATTTTGCTGATTTGTGGAGGAATGGCAAATGGTTATTGCCAATAGCTACGACTTGTGCAATGCAGCAAGCTTGAGGGAATGCATTTGGCATGTGGATGTTGCTTCCCATCAGTCTAATAAACTAGTTTAAAGTCCTAGGAGCACAGGCAATTTGAGTTCCCATAGCAATTGGTTGGCTACAACGAATAATGGTGGGGCTGTAGCTTGGTATAAAGCAGTGTGGAACAGGCACAATATTACAAAACAAATCTTAATCCTCTACCTTTTGATTCTCCAATGGCTGCAATCAAAGGATCAAGCCAAAAGAAAAGATGGGTCCAACAACACTACAAGTTGCTGGGGCAACACCTCATTTATTCTTTGAATGCAAGTACTCAGATCTCAGAGAATTCTTGACAAATGGAAGCCTCTTCATAGGAAAGAAGAACATGATTGAATGGTACCATTTTCAGGAATAGTGCAATTAGTAGTGTTACGAGAGCTGTAATTGTAGCAGCTGTTTTAAGCCTTTCGGAGCAGTAGAACAGCAGAATCTATATGAAAACTCAAGAAAATTGGACTACAATTGTCAAGTCTTGAATAGAGGCTAAGTTGGTTGTCAACACCCTAACAAAAATCACGTTGAAAATTTGGGTATAAGAATAAAGTCTGTACAGAGTATTGTATAGGGAATCTTTTTAGTGTTTGATGTAGTGTGGGCTTTGATGAGCCAAGTTTGTTTTTGGTTAGTAGCATTTGGTTCTTTTAAAAAAATTGATTCACTTATTGGAAGAGAAAATGCTTTTCAAATTTTTTAGGAAATGAAAGCACAGAATCGTTTTGATAGAATAGATTTTCTTTTGCTAAAAGGTTTAGAATAGCAAAGTTGATTTCAATAAAGATAATGTGTCAATTTCAATTCGAACCCAAATTGCAAGCCATCTAATGATATAAATAATGAACTTGAACTTGTTTGAAAATTTGTATTCAAAATCCTAAATGTAATCAAACAAAAAATTTTAGGCCTAAAACTTTGAGCTCCAAATTTCACTCCAAATTTTAAGTTCCCAAAAGGACCTTAACCATTAAGCATTGTGTCAACTAAACATCATTAAAATAAAAGTCTAACAGTCCTATATGGTAGAAACCCAAATGTCAGAAATTGAATATTAGAGAAAAAAATAAATAATAAAAAGGAGGCTAAAAATAAAAATAAAGTCAAAATCATGTACCTTCCCCAATCACCTAGGACAGGTCCTGCACCAGCTGCTCGAGCTTCTCTGCCATCTTCTGTGAATCCATATGCAATGGTTCCTGTACCAGCAATTAGTACACAACCATGGAGCTTACCCATTGTCCCACTAGCCAAAGCTGCCACAGCATCATTTCGTACATAGAGCTTTACATGGCTGGGAAATATGTCTCTATACAAGTCAACAAAAGGTAGACTAATAAATGACTACATGTTCATATGTAGAACAAACTTCAGGTAAAAAGAGAAGCAAAATAGATTATATGAATTATCATAACAAAATTTGAATATTTCAGGAGAACATTGATACAGTCAATGCATTTGCCAAAATTCACATGCCTCTAATGTACTCATAACTCAATAAGCAGGGGCCCTTTTTTTAACAAAACATCTCAGATATAACATGTGAAACGTGAATCACATGGATTTTCCTGAACTTCTATCAGTTACTAGAGACATCAGAATCTCCAATTCATTTAAAATCCATACTGTTTCTCCCAGAATGTAAAGACAGTTTTAGTTTATAAGTTCCAAGTTAGCGATAACAGTTTTCACATTAATTCTAGAATCTTTGCAATTATGTTGAGCTTCAAATAAGATGCCAGTCCCAAATCTTCTGCTATATTCAAACTGCAGGATGTATAAAAAGAAAGCAAACCCAATCCAGGTTAATATTCTTTGCTGGTCTGTAGGATGGTTAACACCAGATACTGCTAAACAAACAGCTCGAACTGCAGATCGATTATAACCAGATTTTGAAAGCACATCTGCCATAACTTGCTCCAATGTTTCTCTGGCAGCAGTTTCTGCAAAATACAGAAAATTGAAAACCACAACATTGGCATGAACAAACGGTATGGGTTAATTTATGGCTAAAAGAAAAATAAAGGAAAAGACAACAAAAATAAGACAGTGGAGTGCCGTTTGTGTCTTATCCTATATACCATGGACAATACATGTAATTGTAATTAAAATCAAATATTACAAAAGGGGGGCTTGCCAATTCGGGCTTTATCTATCTAGTTGTTGCTTTTGCTTTTTGCTTCTTCAAAAGTTGCTAAAGAAAGCATAGGCCAAATAGCAAACACAAAATCACATTTCATTGAGAATGAAGAGATAGTAAACATTCACAAATATTCAAACATGTGTTTCACATAAAAGCAAAACCATGCATTTTGTTTTTCACAAAATTTTAATCTTGAATGTTTTAATTATTCAAAAATGTTACTCTTTGCTTTTCAATCCATGAACGCTTTTGGTTTTTCACTTCCAAGAGTTGAAAGCAAGTAGCAAAAGCAACAACTAAAACAAAAACGAGGCCTGTCACATTTTCTTTGGTGTCTAAATGTGGTGGAATCCTTCTAAAACTAATGAATTTGAACCCTAAAAAATGCTAGTTATTTATAAAATTCTGAGACAAAAACAAATAAGAACTAAAACCATACGCTAAAAAAACAAAACAAAAAAAAAAGTGAGGGAGAGAAATTTACCGCCAACGCTGTTATGATTGGAGCAGCCTGCGATGGCACGGGCGAGAACAGGAAGAGGGTGAGGGAGGGCGTCGGAGAAAGGCATAAGTGGCATACAAATGCAGACAGTGGAAGTGGTTCCACCGTCCAATCCTAAAATCACTTGCCTGTTCGTCGCCACCGCCACCTCGTGCTCAAAGTCCCAGATTTCTCCATTCCTATATCTCTTCATTGCAAAAAAAAAAAAACTTTTTTTGATGAGTTTTACTGGTAAAAGATTCAAACAAAAAAAGAACAGAGAGAGGGGGAGTCGGGCAGTAGTTAATAAGCCAAATCAAGCTAAGACTGATTTCCTTTTGGTTTGAAAGAGTGATGATTTTGTTCAATTTACTAGTAATAAAGTAATGGAATGGGGGTTGGGGTGGGGATGCCCAGGATTTTAAAAATCCTTAGGAAATGTCCGACTCCATTCGGACGGCTAATGCGCCAAACGCTAAATAGTTTGATGATTCGATCATTGGATGCCTTTGAATTCAAGATTTTTGAGCCAACAGAAATGAAGCCTTCCATCGCCTTGCCACTGGCCGCTTAGGTTTTGTCCTGTTTCACAAACATTTTTTTTATTCATATTAATGAAATTATTTGATAGATTGAAAATTGTTAATTTTGGAATTAAAAAATTGATAAATTTTTAATTAATTTTTAATTTTAATATATTTTAATGTGCATATATTACATGTTAATTTTATTTATAAAATTTAAAAATTTCACTGTCAATACAATTAATAATTTCTCTTTATATTGTTATATATTATCAATTTATTAATAATTAAATAAATTAGTTATCTTTTTAAATATATTTATTTAATTAACATGTATTAATTTTAAAATTATTACTAAAATTAAAAAATTCCTACCACCAATATCTTTTAAATAAATGTACCCAATAAAGTAATCAAACCTAAGAAAAAGATTAAATGGGTACTAAGTCCTAATTCCTAATACCTTATTTAGCATTATTAGCACCTAAATGTCTTATTTGGTATAGAAAATTATAATATGATAAGATAAAATGATATCATGAATAATATTATATTAAATAATATCATATTATTTTATATTTGATATGTATAAAGATTAATTATAATAATTTATTTATTCGTTAAAATTATTCTCTCTAAAAATTTATATAATTTAAATTATTAATATAATTTTTAAGAGTATAATAAAAATATAAGTTTAATCATATGGATTAAAAATAATCTTCTCCACTTTGAGAGGATTGAATTGTCTTATACCAAGAGAATGATAATCCTCATTGTAATCATATCCCTTTCAATTAGATACAAATCAAACATAATATAAAATAATTATTATACTGTTCTATCAATCATCCTATACACCAACATGACCAAAAGTCCATTGGACATCCATTTGGATGCCATCTCTCCAAGGCAATTAGTTATTTTTAAAGTTTAAATTAGAGATGACAATGAATAGTATATAAATAGATATTTGTTATTATTGGATTAGTTTATGTCAAATTCAAATAATTATAAATAGATAATTAAATGATTCGGATAAGTGATTTATTATCTGTAATATAGATAGTATTTCCTAAATATCTAATATTCGAATCCATTTAAATTTTAATAAATAGTAATAGATATTTGAATACGTATCCAAATTTGTTACCTATTTACAAATGTAAAATATATACAATTTTATACTTTTGGAAGATGTTAAACATTAACAAATAATTTTTATTTGTTATTAATTAAGAGTGAAATTGAATTTTAAATTAAATTCTTATATTTTTATATTTTGACAAAAAATTTAAATAAATGAATATTTTAACAAATTCAGATATTTAAACGGATAATACTTATTTAAATATATTTGAATTTGAATAGAGATATTAAAATTAAGTAGATATTTAAATAGATTCAAATGTTATTAATATTATATGGATTCGGTACGGATACCTCATATTGGCAGATTGGAGGTTAACTGTGTTTATCAACTTTATGTGCTCGAACACCGTGGGCGCTGATATGTATTGAATGCACTATAAGGCTAAGTTATGCACATTTCTAATAGTAATTGCTTTTAAAAGAATTGGTAGTGCCTGAGATCTTAAAAGTGGTATCAGAGCCAAGGTCATGAGTTCGAGTCCTAGTGGTGTTATTGAGGAAAGATTGTTAGTAGATCGAAGGTTGATCGCGTCCATCAACTCCATGTGCTCGAACACCATGGGTGCTTGTGTGTGCTGAATGCACTATAAGGCTAAGGTATGTGTCTTTCTAACAGTAATTACTTTTGGGAGAGTTGGTCCTAAAAGATGAATTGTTAGCCTTGAATTGACCTTATTTTGAAATGACAAAATATTAAACTAAATAAACTTAATCAAAATTTTCAAAACGATTTATTTAGTACATGTTCTTAAGTTTTATTATTTTGGTACTAAATAAATAATATGATTTTCAAAGTTTAAATAAACATTTCTTTATGTTTTCTTATACCTCAAATCAAAAAATATCTTTAAACATTATTTATTTGGGTTTAAATGAAAGTCCAATTATTATTTTTAAAGTGAACTTATTCATTTGGGACTCAATACAATTTTGATAAAATTGGCTTTGAGAAATAGATTAACTTAAGAAAGTTGTCTTACAATAACAAAGTTTTTCAATATTGAACTTGTTTTGTTTTTTTTGTATTAATTTACAAAGTTTTAATATTTGAATTTTATATGGTTGGAAAAATCTTTGAGTCTACTTTCTAATGGATCAAATAAAATCAAATCCAAATTTTCTAAGAAGAGATTTTGAATTTTTACTAAACATTTTGTAGTTATCTAAAAACTACACAAGGGGTAGATTTGAAAATTCATTATAATTCATATACAATGAATTAGGTGAATGATTTTATATGAATAGAAAGCCTTTTAAGTCTAGTTTCTAAATCTTCAAACATTTTTTTATTTGGAATTGTATAACTCAAGATATGATCAAATTAGTAAGTAGAGTACAAAATATGAAACAACTCCCTAACTTGACCAGATTGATCCTCTAAGTTACAAGATCAATCCCCTATTGTAATGGATTGATTGATTTTTCTTACAAAAACAAAATAGATTTGAAAAACATCGAAAGGGATCAATCCCCTACAAGAAGGGGTTGATCGGGTCCTATGCCTAGAAAAGCTCTAACTGCTAGCTTTTTAAGCTTTATTTTTTTTTCAACTCCAAACCATCCCTAACGACTAGTTTTTCAATTCTTTTATAAATTAGGTATTCCAACACACCAATAAAGTTGATAAATCAAAAAAACAAGAATCAACAAGTTATATTTCTATTTTTTCAAAGAATTAAGAGTTGTTAAAGTTTAAAATTTATATCTTTTGTATTTGTTGTATCCAAGCTATATTTTGTTGTTCATTCATCAAATTTCTTTGTATTTCATTAGAAAAACACTCACTTTAAGAGATATTTTAGTTTGCAAAAATCATTTGAGTTATCTTATAAGCAAGATATGAGGTATCCTCTTGATATTGTAAGGTAAAGGTTGTTATCTAAGCCTTAAAAAAAAGATAAAGATTTAACACAAGATATGTTTATATCTTGTAAGAGTTTTTCTTCAATTAATAGATTGAAACCTTGGTGTGGATAATCAATCAAGAAGAGAGGATGTAGGTGCCTTGTGGAGAAGGATCGAACCTTTATAAATCATTATGTTTAATTTCTCTATCCCTATCTCCTTACATTTATTGTTGTTTATATTTGATTTTAGGTCCATTACTTGTTATTGATTGCATCATATTTTCATCAAAAGTGCTTATTGATTTTAATTTCTCATTCAATTATTTTGAAATCATTGTTTGAGAAGAATTTAAAGAAATCTAATTCACTCCTTCTCGGATCACCATTTTACCCAAAAAGCTAATACCTCAAAAATAGCGGATATCCACTCTAATGCCATATCTAGTTTAAACATCATGAAGCTAAAATTTTGATTGAACCTTTAATGGTTCAGTGAAACTTTTATTTTTTTTTCCATTGTTATTTTGTTTCATTTTTGCCCTTTGATTTTTTTTTCATTTTATTTTTTTAATTATTTAAGTGAAATAAATTTATATTGTTGACTTTTTATTTGTTAATTTGTTTTATTTTTTACTTAAATATTTTATCAAATTATTTATTCTTGTTAACTTTTTCATTATTTATTATTTTATATAAAAATAATTTAATAAATTTTCTAATATTTATTAATTTTATAAATACTAAATGATTTAAAAATTTTTCCTATGTATAAAATTTAATCTATATCCTTAATAGTCATTTCATCATCTCATTATATTTAATCTCACTATCACTGTAGTGTTTGCATCAAAACATATATCCCATCGTGAATTTTAATCTCATTGCTATAATACTCAATCTCACCATTATAATAACTAATCTCATATCTATTGTTATTTTTAATCTCATTGTCTATTCAAATTGACCCTAAGCAAATGTGGTAAAATGATTGATAACATGAGATTCGGCATGGCTCAGCCTGTAATGGGTCGTGCTTGATACGGTTTGTAATTGAATAATTACATATGATTTTAAAATTATAATCCATTATGTTGTGCTAGCACATTATCACATCCACATAACCGGAAAGCATTGTTTGCTTCAACCATTAGATCTCATAGTTTAGTCTTATAAAAGGTGTTTCATAAGTTGAAGGTGATATGAATGCTTATATCCCAAAATCAATTCTAATACATAACCAATGCAAGATTCATGATTTCTTTCTAAGATCATGATACATGACATGTACAGCATAGCTAGTAGTCCATAGCACATATACCATAAAAATTTTTATTAATTGATTTTTGAATAATTATTATAATGTTTTATTCTTTTTTACTTCACATACAATTGATCACAATAACTTTTTAAATTTTTTAAAGAATCATAGCTTAAAATTTCTTATCAATCAGAGAACTTATAAGAAGAAACAAATTTCTTTTTAAAGATATTGAAAAAATAATCATGAACTTAAAAAAATTTGAAATCAACTCAAGTTTGGCTAAACAAAAACTCAAAAAAATTCATAAATTTAATCTCAATCACCCTAACACATTTTATTTCGATATTCTAAAAGAATGGATTAAAACAAAATCAAAAACTAAATTTTCAGTCCATACATTAAATTAATAGCATATAATCAAAACAAATGTTGAACTCAACAACAATTAAATATCTTGATGTATAAAGCAATTCAAAGAACATGCGCAAAACTTCATTCCACTCTAACTATAACTTTCATGAGTTAACCTTCTAAAGAATGATAAGATATCCGCTTGATCACTCACGGTGATAAATCCTATCTCTATCACTCTTCCATTTTCATATAATTCATATTATACCCAATGGTTACCCTATTGATCATTTTTGGTTATGATCATTTAAAAATGGTATCAAAGTATAATACTTGTCATAAAAGCTAGATAATGACCTCAAGTTAAAAGACAACTTATGCAACTATCACATAAGAATATTACATGTAAACTAAGTAATTATCAAATGCAATTATTATATTAAGTCAT